GAAATATTTATTGAATTTGATTTGGCAGTTTTCTTCTTATAGTTTAGAGGCAATATTTTTTTTCTGCAGGTCTCAAACATTTGCATGTCTGCAACACACTGGGCCTAGAAGACTCATGGCGCTAAGTGATATTATATTGACCCTTCATAAAACTGAGGACATTTAACAATAAAGCCCAATATTCTGCACAGGAAAAAGTGGGAAGTATGCTAATCCAATGAGGCCCAGGACATTGATTTTATTTATTTTATTTTTTTTTTCCTTTTTGTCTTTTTTCGTGTCCGGCAATGGATCGCAACCCTCAGTGTCGCGCCCGTACCGGACCGGGACCGGCAACGGGACCACAACCCTAGGTGCTGCGCCCGCACCTCGCTCAGCCAGTGAGCGGCCGGTCTGTATGTGGGATCCGAGCCGCAACGGATCGCAACCCTCAGTGTCGCGCCCGTACCGGACCGGGACCGGCAACGGGACCACAACCCTAGGTGCTGCGCCCGCACCTCGCTCAGCCAGTGAGCGGCCGGTCTGTATGTGGGATCCGAGCCCTCGGCGGGAGCGCCGCTGCGCTCCCAAGCAGCGCACTGTAGCAGTGCGCCACCGGGCCGGCCCCAAGACATTGATTTTTGGTAGTCTATATTGCCCTCCAGAGACTGCACAAGCATGTCATTTTGCATATCTCAGCTGCATAGGACTTAGCTAGGAGACTGGCTGTCCATGTTGAATTGCTTTGAAGAGATGTGGCATGCTATTATTCTAGTTGCCAAAGACATTGATCCCACCTGTTCAGGTGGCAGAGATAACATTGTAGTATATAAACCAAGTAATCTCATTCTGTTTTTATTTGCAGAGTACATTGTTTTCTTTGAGAAGTGCCTACACATGTATAAGGTGACACTCTTAGAGTTTAGGATCAGAGTTTGGAAGTCATTATTTAATAATAGATAATTTAAAAATATGTGGGAGAACCATTAACTGTTTCTTTATTTAAATTAGGAAAACTGTAAGAGAAAATTTTACCTTAAGTATAAAACAAAACCTTAACATGGCCACTACCAAACATCTGGCTTTGAATAACACTGCCACCTGATGGCTCAATTTGGAAAAATTAGTTTTAAAATGTTCTTCTAAGATCCTGCCACACAGTTATTTACCCTCCTTTTGAACACAGGGGACTATCCGCCATACACAACAATACTAGAGTTGAATAATTAATAAGAAGCTTATTTGAGACAGCAGTTTGAAAACAAGCTGCATCTTGTTTCCTGAAGTTAATGATGTATCAGGAGCTATCATAGATTCTCCATCTACTCAGACAAGAGAAATATGATTTCAGAGAATTAAACTAGTTAAATCAATATGTGTTGCAGGAGACATAGTGTCTATTATAGCATTAGTAATAGCCACTTTTATGGTAACAGCTCCCTAGCTTAATTAGCGGAATTAACACAGCTAAAGAAAGAATGTACCAACTGAAGACGTGGCTAGCATAGAAAAGCCCTTCTTAGAGACACGAACTTTATACCAAAGTGTGTATAGAAAGATGTTCAACAGAAAAAGATGTTGAAAGTAGGGTCATTGGTAATTTAGTCCTCAAGAGAGTTAATCTTTACTATGCATCAGGGATAGCCCAACATATCTCTCCATGATCTGGATGAAGTAGTCCTCAAGATAATTTACCTCTCTTTGCTAAGTAATCTCCTGATAAATAATTCAGCTTCTTGGACATCCTGAATCCTGGCCTTATGTTGCAGACACAGACATTTTAGAATCTAGAAATGGATATCACTTTCTAAACTAGTAAAATGTCCCTCTGTTTTATATTTCAGTTGAATGTGAATTTATTCATTGTTAGCCTACCACTGTTCTTCTGATCATTTCAAAGTGTGGTGACTAATAAAAGTACAGCATTGGATAGCTAAGACTTTGGACTATTATGCATTCACATATTATGCATTCATCTCTTAAGGCTTTTTAGCAATTTTTCCTGTTGGCACCACTTCCCACCTTTCAGCAAATGCTTTCTTGGAGAAGCACTGAATTAAAAATAAGTTTAAAGAGAAATATTAATAATTAGTACCAAACAGTAAAAAGTTGCTTAGAAGAAAACCCAGTGTATTAATTATGGAGGAATAAGTATTTCCACAGAAGGAAAATGCTAGTTTATCATGAGTCCAACGCGAACTGGGAAGTCAGCATGAACTTCAGATAACAAATACTAGGAAAGTAAATTTTAAAATAAATGACAGACTTCTGGTCAAGATGGTGGAATAGAGGATATCCAGTGTCACTTTCTCCCATGATCGACCAATTTACAATTATTAAAAAAGCAAAGACTGCCAAGCTGGGGCCACTAGAGCTCAGGGGAAGAGGAGGAGAGACCTATGGAGTACATGAAGGTGGGAGAAGCCATGACGAGAGAAAGAAAGGATTGCTCCGACTGTTTCAAGCTCCAACCATTTCAAGCCCTAACCACTTCAAGGCTGAGCTGCTGAGCACATGGAGCAAGAGTGGCAAAAGCCACAGCTGTGCCCTTCGTATGAAGTTGCTTGGAGGCTGCAGGGAAGAAGAGGTCCTAGGTGACCCCCAGGCCAGCTAGACCACTGACAGGGCTCCTGTGGACCCACAGAGGAGTGAGGGGCCACAGACAACTGAAAATAAGAGTCACTCAGAGGCCAGTGAGTCATTGCAAGGTACCAGCACATGGCTGATCCTATGGGAAGTGTTTGGAGTGTGGGTGGTGGTGGGGACGGGCACATTGAGGCACAACATGGACAGCTGATCTGCCCCCCATTCAGCACAGAATCACTTACTGCAGACTGGTGAAGAATACAGAATGGCAGTAGGTGCAGTTTGCTAAAAAAACTCAGGCCCAGACCAGAGTTTCCACACAACCAGGGTGTACCAGACCTCACAAGACCTGGAAGTGCTTATTACAAGGTCAACAATTAAAACTGGAGCTGCACAAAAAGCCTTCGTCAGTGAATCAGCAGCAAAGCAGCAATTTAGTTCAATCACAGGACTCAAGTGCTGGTCCCCACAGGAAGTTCCCCCATTTTAGAAGTAACCACATGACAACAAATTAGTTCCAGTGCAGAATTTAAGTGGTGGTGGTAGCTAATAATCTAACACAGAACTGAAAGAAAAACAAAACACCCACAGATCAGAGACAAAATTTTGATATTAACCAGTAAAGGCCTAACACCACCAAAGAACACCTATGAAACACAGAAAGACCAGAAGGACCAGAAGGTCTCTGGGCTCCCAAGCCGGGGTAGGGAGTGGGCTGAGGGCCTCAGCTACATACCTCCCAACATCTGCATCCAGCCCAGTGATGACCATTGAGCTGCTGCTGGAAGCACGCTGGGCTCCCAAGCCGGAGTGTGGGCTTCCCCCAGGTCATGATTGAGGCCCTCGGCCCCCCCGACACCCGCATCCAGCCCACACACGACTGAGCCACCACCAGAAGGTCTCTGGGCTCCTCTGCCAGAATGAGGGGGTGCCATGGGCCTTGGCCATGCCCCACTCTCCCTTTCCTTGTCCTCCCACTCTATCCTTGTGTCCCTTCCTCTTTCTCTCTCCACCCCAACTGCTCTGCAACAACATCTTAGAATGCAAAAAAAATAAGAATAAAAAAATAAATAAATTACAATAATTCATTTAGGACATACGAATGGCCTTGTATAAGAGTAAGATATGAAATAAAACAGGCAAGTACATTTATGAATGTCCATTTCATAGCTCCATTTTTTAAGAGTCGTGGTGGCAAACTGCCAAAAGTTCAAATGAAATCAACAAAATGACAACGCAGGGGCCATGGATTATCCAAGGCTATCTAGTCCTATGACTGGCATACAGCACATGGTCAGTTCATGTCTCCTGAATGAATTATTTTTAAATGTATGTGGAAATTGAAAAGATTTTCATCTCACTAGTAATAATAATAATAAAAAAAAAGCGCTAATGGAAACAGTCCAATTTTCACCTATTACGTCAAAAAACATGAAAAATTCTAATAGGATGTCATATGAACCACAGAGTGAGAGGGCAGACATCTCCTTGCATTTCTGGGTGGAATTTGAATTAGTACAACATTTCTGGAGGATGACTTTGAGAAGATGTTAAAATAAACAATGTTAACCTCTGACAAATAACTTCATCTTAAAAAAATTATTTTAAGAAAATAATAGTGGATATTTGCAAACATGTATGTAATATCTCCAAACTTAAAACCACTTAAATACCTAATATCAAAAAAATGAATTATGATACATTCATCAGCAAGATATTTGCAGCCATTAATACATTTACAGATGTAGAATATTTTAGAGTAAGTGGTAATTATAACCCTGTCCTCGTTATAAGGATGCTAAAGAATACATGTATTTCCTAGAATGCCTTTTCTTAGTAAAACAATACAAACAAATTCCTAAAAGCAGTCCTACTAATCAGTGAAAGAATACATGAAATATTCAACACAAATAAAATGTTAATCTAAGCTTCTTTCACCAGAATTGAATAAATGATATCCATCTGGGCAAAGAATGGAAGATATATGTTACTACTGGGTAATAACTGGACATATTGGATATATACTACCATGCTGGGTAATAGTTTTATCATTAAAGTCCTTTTCTAACTTTTTTCTAGCAATGACAATTCAAAATGTAGACGTATACATTTGAAAAGAAAACTGTTTATGAAAGACATATTAATATTAGAGAACCATTATGTGGACATCTTACTTTGCCTTCCTGGTGAATTAAAAACAAAAAAAAAGCTTTTTGTGAACATATACAGATACATTTTTACAGTATATTTTTATACAAGTTAAACTTGAAACAATTCTCACTGATTCACTCTCTCTCTCAGTAACATGTCTGACACTCTTTTGCCCTACTTCATCCATCTATTAGAAGAACTTACGTTTAAGTAAAATCCTTTAATAAAGCATCTCTTCAGTGAGAATCCAAAGGCTTATTCATAATGCTTGGATGAAAACTTACCTTTTTGACTTCTTTACTTGATCTGAATGTCTGCTGAACAAAAGAATCACTTTCAATAGCTTCAATTTCTTTTACTCTTTTTACTTGTTCTACCAGTGTGGCTTGGTCTAAAAAAGAGGGTATAAAGTCAGTGTATTTTGGTGTAAGCTTGTTAACAATTCTATACCTAAGCAATGTTTTTTCTTTCTATGAAGAAATTTTACTACTTATGGAATTTAACTGGATGAAAAGACATTATATTTAAGCTCTAACAAGAAACTTTCCCCCCCCCTGAGATCCACAAATAAAACATTCCTATGAACTAAGACCCTCACCTAAAACCCAAAACATTGCTAAAAAGTCACTGCTATAAGGATTCTGCCTAATCTGGTGGGAAGTTTTTTTTTTTTTTAAACTTTTATTTTAACATTTTATTGTAGATACATATAAAAGGAATAAGAGCACAATGAATCCACCTGTACCCATCACTCAGCTTCTATAATCATTAGCTTTCTGTTATTCTTATTTAATCTATCTATCCTCACCTCAGCTTTGGGAGGTGAACCTTGAGCACTTAAAAGTAAATCCCAAACGCCATATCATGTTACCCCTAAATATTTTAGTAGCACCTCTAACAGATAAGGACTTAAAACAACAACATAACTACAATAGCATTTTCACACCTAAAAATACCAATAATCCCTTGATATCGTTTACATAGTCCAGGTTTAATTTTCACTGTCTAAAAGGAATCTTTTTAAAGTTGGTTTGTCTGAACAGGATCCGAGGTCCACACATTGCACTTGGCTGATAAATACCTTAAGTCTCTTTTCATCACCTACAAGCCACCACCCTTCCCTTTCATTTACATTTATTGAAGAAACTGAGTCATTTATCCTGTAAAAGTTTGCATATCCTGGATCTGGCTGATGTTATCCTCATGGTGTCATTTAACATGTTCCTCTATTCCCATATTTTGTGTAAAGCAGTAGTTAGATCTAGAGGCTTGATTACACTCAGGTTCAGTGTTTTTTGGTCAAGAGTACATCAGGGCTAGACAGTCACCTCAGTTGGTTAGAGTGTGGTGCTGATAACACCAAGGTCCAGGGTTTGATCCATGTACCTGCCAGCTGCCAACTCCCCCCTACCACCCAAAGAATACATCAGAGGTGGTACTGTGTAATTCTTACTACATCATATCAGAATGTGCTTGTATGACTTTTAGTGATGTTAAGATTGGTGAGTGGGTCCCAGGTGAGTCAGCCTGACCTTTCCATTATAAAGTTCACTATCAATTTTTCATTTAATGAGTTTAGCAATACTGTTTGTTGCTTAGATCCATTATTTCATTAGAGGTTATAAAATGGTGATCTTCTAATTTTACTATTCTTCCTGCATTTATTATCTCTGATTCTTCTGTAATGAAGAACTTTTCCTCATTGACAATTGGGTGACTGTGATACAAAGCCTGTACCGGAAAGTCACAATAAATGTTTGATCCTTTCTCTTTATCAATTTTGGTTGAAAGATGACCAAAGATGACCATTATAAATTCATGAATATTTATATGTTTAATGTATTTGTAGTTCATGGTAGTCATTTTCCTATTTTGATGCTCAAATTGTTTCACTTTTGGGTAAAATCCTCTTCAGGTTGACTCCTGCATCCTTTTCATATACTCCCTAGTGGTTAAGGCAGGATAAAATGTTCCAGGACTATCTTGTATGGTTCCAGTCCCAGCCAGAAATTAGCCATTTCTCCAAAGAATGTGGACTCCTTTTAGTGGGGAATGATATTTATAAACAACAATCCAGGTACAAGGGGTATTCATTGTTACTGGATTGTTACGGCCTCTGGACTTTTCAGTGGGTGGGGCGGGACGTACTTATTTTTAGAAGAGAAAAATTAATATCAGTTCATGATAAGACTACCAACCAAATAAAAGATTATAGGATCTATAGTTAAAGCCTTTTATTTTATATTTGTGTATATAAGTTTTCTAAAAACTGAAGCCTTAATAGCATGATCAAAAGTACTTAATTGTTTTTCCTAATGTGTGAGTATGTTTTAGTTTCAAAATAACAAGACAAACATTACTACTAACAACAAGATATATGAGGGTACTTCAAAAGGTTCTTGGAAAAATGGAATTGAAAGATAACATGAATATTTCCATGAGCTTTTGAAGATCCCTTGTATTAACACAGTTTAAAATTTCTTTATGGTCTTTTTGACCTTAGGATTTATTCCACTGATGAATTGTCAAAATAAATACTATATTTTGAAGTCACTTGAAATAATTCTCTATGTGATTATGCTACCAACTTGAAATATAGGTAAGTTCATCTGTTTTTATTTTTTTAAATTTTTAGGTCTTACTTTGATTTTTAATTGCAAAAAACATTTACATGGTTCTAAGGTCAAAACTTAACATCATTTAGAGAGGTCTAGGTTTCCTTTCCTATCCCATGCCCCCAGTTCTTCCTCCAATTCACAGGTAATCATTTTTATTAGGTTTGGGTTTGTCTTCCACTGTTTATTCCTGAAAATATAAGTATACAATTCTGAAAATATAAGTCTCTTCTTGCTTATACAAAATTAGCATACTTTACACTTCTATGTGTTTTACTTTTTTTCACTTAATATTTTTTCACTATCACTCTATAGCAGCTTAGAGAGTTCTTAGTTCTATTTTACAATTGCATAATAATCTATTTTATAGTTTTATGATAGTTTTTTTTTCCCCACCAAAGCTCTATTGATGGCTAAGTAGTTTCTAGTTTTTTTGCTATTATAGTTAGTGTTTTCATTTCCTATTTTTACATTTTCTTTCTCAGATGCTAGCTGGGCAGAAAAAATGTAACATTATGGTTCACACCCTTGCTGTTTTATTTTTAAATTTTTAGTTTTTTTTGGGGGGGGGACAGGGGGCTGGCCAGTATGGGGATCTGAATCTGAACCCTTTACCTGGGTTTTATAACACCATGCTCTACCCAGCTGAGGAAACCAGTTAGCCTGCTGTTTTAAACTCTTATTCAAAGCTAATATGAATATATAGTTGATAGTTGAATTAGGTGCTATTGTATTCTTGGCTAGGCACTTAAAAATTCTGGGTTTTGGACATCATGGATAATAGCTGGATTTACTTTCTAAGAAACAACTGTAATAACTAGTTTGCCAAGAACATGAAGTTATTTGCATCAAAGTAATTTCTACATTCCAGCAGCTCTAAGCTAAAATGGTTAAATGTTGCTACAGAGATAAATATAGAGTATAAAATTTTTTTGGTTTCATAAGTTCAATAAAAATTAATATTGTATGAAAAATCTTTGTCTCAACTTTTCGTCAGTCACAAATTATTATTATATAGTGTTGTGCAAACTCCAGTTTTTTGTTTTTTGGGTTTTTTTGTCTTTTTTGTGACCGGTAAGGGGATCACAACCCTTGGCTTGGTGTTGCTGGCACCATGCTCAGCCAGTGAGCGCACCGGTCATCCCTATATAGGATCCGAACCCACGGCGGGAGCGCCACTGTGCTCCCAGTGCCGCACTCTCCCGAGTGCGCCACGGGGTCGGCCCCAAAACTCCAGTTTTTTAATGGGAAAGATAGCTCTTTTGAAGATGTGTCCCTGACGGCTGTAACCAGTCTTTTTGCATGTGAGAAATCACACATGGAATGCTTGGAAGTAGCAGCCACCACAGTCAATACTTCCATCGTTGTAAGAATACATTCTCCTGCATAAAAGCAAGCACTGTCACAGTGCTACGGGAGAGAAAATAGTTCCACGTGCTTTAGAATAAAAGCTCCTCTGGATTTTAACTAGGCAATGTACTAATTGAGCATGGGAAATGAGAGAAGACTCTTTACCTAGCTAATTTATTAATATGAACACACCCCATATTACTGGATGTATAATAGTGTTAATATAGCAAAGTCATAATGGCTGCCATTCCGTGTGATCCAACTTTGATGTCAATATGAAAACATTTGTTTCTGTAGATCTTAATTATTTTGTGATTGCTAATTCCCAACCAAAAAACCTATTATTTCTGACTTCAGGATGATGTCTCCTCTTTATCAACTGTTGAACCCCTTGAATTTTTTTTTCTAACATATTCTCTCATTTGGATTTGCAAAGCACATCATTAGTATTAAATGTCAGAGGTGAACTCACAAACAGTACTTGATGTCTAAAGCTAGTAGTATTTGTAGCTTTAAATCTGGACATACAACCAGCTCCTAATACAAATAAAAATGTATCACAGAAGCTTGCCAAAAGGCCAGTATGCTCGACAAAATAGCATTGGAGAAAGTATAAGAAAAAGAAGGAGAAAGATTAGAGAAAAACAGAGCATTATCTGCATATTTCTTTTAAGATCACTTCAGGACTAACAAGGTGATAGGGCAGGTAGGAGGAAGCCTTACTTACAATATGAAAACAAACCACCACAGCTTTTATCTTTCAACGTAAGAACCATTATACTGGTTGCAAGAGAGTGATATTTAAATTAAAATTGGAAAGATTCATGAGATTTCCATTTTTATCCTTATAAAAGCTCAACTCTATGCAGCCTGAAAACAGTAGACATAAAAAAATGTTTTAAATTGCTTCATACTCAAAATTCTACTATCAATGTTCACAAGTGTATGTCTTGAGTATAACCCTGTCATTTTGGGAAGCAGAATAAAACACATCAATAATATATACTACATTATTTCAAATTCAGTTTAAGTTATTCATGCCAATTTGTTATTTAAAAGTCCTGTGCCAATTTAAAGGTTGGGAGAAAATGAGACTTAAAAATAGTTAAGGTTTATATGCTCTGCATGATGCCTAGCATGCAAAGTGTCTTGTATTAATCAGCCATGAGGTAAAAATAAAGACAAGTATTATGAGGAAAATAAAAATTATAGGATGTTTTAAAACATTAACATGGTAAATGTGAAGAAAACATATCCATTATCATGTGATGATTTTTTATAAACACATTATTGGTAAATAAAATGACTTCCATGTTGTTTATCAGATATCAGTAGAAGGGATATAAATTTCATAGTAAAAAAAAAAAAAAAAAAAAAAAGA